ACACACACACACACACACACACACACACACACACACACACACACACACTTGTGACTGCTGCTGTACCACCCTACCTGGCCCCTGGCCCAGAGCAATTGCTGGGTTAACATGGCAGGTGAATGAATTTATCTTCTCCGTCTCATAGGCTGAGGCCCTCTTATTTACTACAGTTGGCTTCTAGAATCTTTCCTGCACATTTTGCACTGATGGGTCTTAGCCATTGGGTGAAGCTTAGTGAAACCGGGGCTCTGTTAACTATCTCTTCGATTTTTGACATTTTGGGATTGCATGTGAAGGGACAGCTGCAGAGCCAGTGAGTAATTCTTTGCAGTTTTATGGGATGATATGATTTATTTTGAAATCTTGTGTGTAAAATGAAAGCCCAAATGAACACCTGCTACTTATGATTAGGGGCAGCATGCTGCTATGCGACAAGGACTGGCTCAGGAGTCAGCCTGGACCTGTGACTGACAGGCTGTATGACCTTGAACAAGGGGCTCATTGTTCATAAATTCCTATTTTCTTGAGTGTAAAATGAAGACATTAGACTCTCAGCTTCTTCATGTGGTTATTAACGTTTTAAAAGTTTTTAAAATTTTTTTTTAATTAAAATATTTAAGTAATTTAAAATAAAATATTATTCATATTTAACATTTAGCTGGTGATGCCCACAAATGAGTCACAATAAACAACTGTTGTGGTGTGCTGTCCCCTGAACAAAAAAAAGTCACCTTATTCATCATATTGGCTGTGCCTGCTTGCATCAGATTGCCGTAGCAGGGCTTGACACTGTTGACATTCCCTCCTAGAAGGAGGGGATGAGGGTCACTGAACTCTGTTTCCAACCGCTTCTCCCAGTTACTTGCATGTGATTCTGCCCTAATTGCACTTGGCTTTGCCTCTGCGGAGCAGCTAGGGTTAAAGGAAGGGGACTTCATCTCTGCAGCTGCTGAGGAGTCATCACCCATGTGGAGTGCAGATCTTCCAGTGCAGGCTGCTCTGGGCTCACTCTCAACCCTGCCCTGTAGCATTCATTGGCTTCCAAGAGGAACTTTGATGGAATCACACTTTGGTTTGTTTTTAGGCCCCTAGGAGGAGGAGTAGATGCATTCATATCCTGCCAGGAAAGGAATTTTCTAAACAACTTTCATGTAATCACTTTCCTAAATCCGGCTGTTTGCATTGCTTACTCTGTCTGACACCTTCCACTGAACCCTTGCACAGACACAGCCTTGCTCAGCTGCAAGGCTTTACTATAGTAAGTAAATATATTTTATCTCCTTCTTCATATTCTAACGGTCTTGGGTTTGAGCCACTCAGTCACTTGCTCTTCAACAGTGTCTAGACTCCCTTTAATCCTTAGTTCACCAACAAAGGAGGGGAGAGCATTCCTGATCTCTGGTTACAGTCTCTTGCTGGGCTCTTTCACTTCACTTAGGAGTTGTGAGTGCCCCAGTAGAAACTCTTCCAGTGCCTGAGACTCAGGGTTCAATTTGGCGGAGCCAAGAATTTCATAGCTTCAAGTCCTGAGAGCTAGGGGACTATCGCTTTAGGCTTTGGAGGCTGGATTTATGGCTCTGGACTTTAACTACCAGCAACCCTGACACGTGGCAGCTATTGTAATCTTTGGCTTCTGATAGCAGTGAGCAGAAGCCATAGGCAGTGCCTGTTGGTGCTCCAGCTCCCGAGAGGGTCTTAAGTGTTGAGTTCTTCAGCCTTTGATCTTCAGAGTTGGCAGCTCCCAGGTGGTCTAGTGATTAGGGCCTATAGTCTTTCTCTCTAGCCAGTCAGTGTCCTGTATTTTATCTTATTTTAGTTTTTGAGACAAAGTCCTATATATTCCAAGATGGCTTTGAACTCACTGTATAGGCAAAGATGATACTGAATTTCTGAGCCTCCTGCATCCTACTCCTGTGTTCTGAGATTATAGGCATGTACCATCATTCCTGCCTGTATGCCATATGGCATCCTGGTTCAGACTAAGGGCTTTGTGCAGGTAAGGCAAGCATTCTTTCACTGTCCTACCCTCAGCCCTGTCTTCTCAATGCTTCTGCTTCTCTATGCTTCTTTCATTGTCTCCACCAACTTTGCTCCCTATTGATTCTGCCCTTGGCTCCTGTGTGGAAGCTTTCATCTTTCTTATTTCCATTTCCAGCACTGCTCTAGAACTAAGCTATCACCTCACGGCTGCCACTGCTGCCTTTACCACTTCTGCTGTCTCCAACTGTCCCTTCTTCCTGTCACCAGCTCAGCCTGCTCCTCTAATAATAAAGGCCAGGGTCATCAGATAGAAGCCTTGTGTATAGCACCAGAGGGCACTATGTGAGAGAATCTTTATGTTGACTTAAAAAAGAAACAATCTGACTAGCCCACTTAAATAGTCATAAGGAGGCGTGGCAAGGGTGTTTGCATCCATCATGTCAGTCCTTCATGCAAATGAAAGCTTGTGTTTGCAATTCTTGAAGGACTGTGCTGTGATTGATGTGAACACTCTAACTGCCTCACTCCTTTCTTGACTACATTTGCAGGCTGCTCCAGTCACCATGCTAGACAGCTGAGAGATGGTCTCTTGCATTGCTCCTAGTGTTGGAACATTGGGCCCATTAAATGTTTCTCTTGAATGGTCTCTTCTTGGCTTCTTGTATGTGTGTGTGTGTGTGTGTGTATAAGACAGAAGTGAATTTCTATGCCACTCCTCAAGACACTTTCTTTTTGAGACAGCCTCCTACTGACCTGGATGGAACTCACCTATTTGGTTAGGCTGGCTGACCAGTGAGCTACAGGGATCTACCTGCCTCTGCCTCTGTTCTCAGCACTGGAGTTACAAGTGAAGGCCAATAGACCCAGATCCAGCTTTTTTTTTTTTTTAAAATGTGGGTACTAAGGGGTCCAGGAAAATGTCAACCCTTATGGGCTAAGGGTCCCGACACCCTTGGTAGGAGACCTGTAACACTAACCACTGTAGGAGCTTCGACTTCCAAAACTCAAGGCCCTTCCAGGTGCTATAACTAGAAGGTGCTGCTGTTCTGTTCACTGCTGTTGAAAACCAAGAATTACAATAGCTGCTAAGTGGCTCTAAGGCCAGAGTAGTAAGCCTCCAACTTGTCCATCCAGATACATAACTTTTTGCCTTCTAAAGCTTGGGCAATAGGCATTCAACCTTCAAGGCTTTTAGCTGTAAGCCTCTGGGGCTATCAGTCTAGCCCATATGCCTTGGCTGCTCAAGGGTCCAGGACTGCACAAACTAGGAAGTTTTCTTACTTAGCCACAGTTTCTATCCAGGTAGGGCAAAAACAAAACAAAACAAAACAAAAAAACAAACAAACAAACAAACAAAAACACCACAGCACATTCTTCATCCAAATACTGGAGTTTCCAGAAAACACAGGGGGAAGAAAAAAACAAAACAAAACAAACAAAACAAAAACCAGTTTCTATCCTGTCAGTTGCTCTTTCTCACCACTAGATGGCACATGTACTGCAGGCTATTAGCAGTTTGAGCAAGAAGTTTATGTGTGTCACTGTCACTTTGATAGAAATTACAAAAGCATGGAATATACAAAAAAATAAGATAAAAAGAGGAGAGAGTTGGCAGAAATAGAGGACAAGGAAAAATAACTACAGCATGGCATTAGCCCTAGGAGATTTATGCCAGTTCATGTTTGGGTCCAATCTTGAACAGCCAAAGAGGTAAATGTCAGCAGTTACAAATTTCCAGATTTTATTTAGACAAACAAAGTAATAAATCAAAGGAATCCTAATTTTTCCCGACCCGAGATTAGAGTAGAGTTGATCTCTACTGACCAACATTCTTCTCCATTCTTCCATGTACCAACATTGTAGTGCCATCTGTGAGCAAGAACTAGGAAAATTAGCTTTTACAGGCTCAAAACATGGGTTTTTCAGAATATAGTAAGCTCACTGTTTATCAGTGTGCACCACTGAATTTTTCTTTTTCTTTTTTTTTTTTTCTTAAAAATATTTTATTACTAGCCCACAAATCAATTTGGAAAGATGAAATTTAACTTTTTCCCATCACTGATTTTAAAGTCCCGAGCCAAAGCCGAGCCACAAAAGCAGGTTAGGTGACAAGCCGGTTAGCCTGTCTATGAGGAGCAGCGGGGAGGGCAGAGGGCAAGGGGGCAGATCATTTTTTTTCCCACACTCTCATGATCTCTCTTCTCTCCATGATTATTGCCTGCCCTGGGGGCCTGATCACAAACCCTGCTTGGCCAAGGAAGCAGACACTTCGTCGGCTAGTGTGGCAAGCTGTGGTGAGTCCACCATGTTGATGCTGCCCGTGGAGGACACATTGCTGAGGTGCCGTGGAGATGTGTCCCCAGACACCACAGGTGACTTGTATATGATTTCTGCTCCGTGGTCTGTCTTGGCTTTGGCATTCTCCCTGAAGGTCAGAGTGTGGGTTTCAATCTTCTTATTCCCTCCTCCAGGGACGTGGGTGATATTATCCAAGGAGCCAATCTTCGATTGGACTCTGTCCTTGAAGTCCAGCTTCTCTGATTTTACTTCCACTTGGCCACCTCCTGGCTTGTGATGGATGTTCCCTAATGAGCCACACTTGGAGGTCACCTTGCTCAGGTCCACTGGCTTGTAGACTATTTGCACCTTGCCGCCTCCAGGCTGGTGCTTCAGGTTCTCAGTGGAGCCAATCTTGGACCTGACGTTCTTTAGGTCTGGCATGGGCACAGGGGCAGTCTGCAGGTGGCTCTTACTGGCAGACAGTGACTTAGGGGGAGTGCGGACCACTGCCACTTTCTTGGGCTCTCGGGTGGGCGGCGTTGGTAGGGATGGGGTGTGGGAGTGACTGCCGGGGGTTCCGGGAGAGCCGGGGCTGCTGTAGCCGCTTCGTTCTCCAGATTTTGGTGGTTCACCTGACCCGGGAGGAGTCTTTGGGCTGGGCGTGGTCTTGGCTGGGATCCTGGTGGCGTTGGATGTGCCTTTCTGGCCCGGAGTGGCTGCTCCCCAAGGTGTGGCGGTCTTCACCCCGGTTTTGCCATCAGCGCCCTTGGCTTTCTTCTCATCATTTCCAGTCCTGTCTTTGCTTACACCGGCCACTCGAGCTTCAGTCACGTGTCCAGCGGCTTGGTCCTCCAGGTTCGGGGTGTCTTCTTCAGCTGTGGTTCCTTCTGGGACCTCCGTGTGGGTCTGGGCAGCGGCCTGCTTGTCGGGAGTTCTCTCATGACCACTGAATTTTTCAACAGTAGCATTTCCTTTCTCAGGGTCTGGGTTAAGTATAAGAAGGAATTCTCTGAGATCATGGGAACAAATTTCCACAGTATGTTCTCTGCCATGATAGTCTGCCTCACTATAGTTGAGAAATGAGATCTGAGTCACTTTGTAACTTTGAGCCAAAATAAATTTCCCCTTTTAAATTTTTTTTTTCAGGTTTCTTTTGTTGTAGTTATGACCGACACAGCAGGGCAAAGACTTCAATTGTCTTGCTTATTGCAACACCTGTGGCATCTAGCATAGAGCCTGGAATAGAGTAGAGTGGGCCTCCTGGAAACTTTTGAATGAATGCTGAGCTGTAATCTTGGGTCAGCCATTCACTTATCTGGCTAACTATTGCTTATTGAGCTTTCAGTACATGTCAGAGATGCTTGGTTGAGTTTCTTGGAACACTCATGTCTTACATAGTCACTTCTCCCTTTTGATGTGACTACATCTTTTCTCTACAGTTTTCTCTTCAGGGATCTTTATTAGTTTTGGGGGCAGGGATTACTGAGCCTTAGCTTCATGTTCTTAGGCCATCATGACAAGTGATTTCTTGTCACCATTTTTTCCAATCTGAGTAAAATAGTTGCTTGGACTGTTAGGTTTATCTTGTCCAGTTTGTCCTTCAGTCTGCCTTACTGCTTCCCCGCCCTCCCATTTTTGTTGTTGTTGTTATTGTTTTTGTTTTATTTGTTAAAAGTCACTTGAAATTTGCTATTAGTAACAGTTCAGGTGGGCTTTTTTTCATCTAAGTCGTCCTCCTTGATTTTTGCACATGTATGCGTCTGTTGTTGCATATGTGTTTTTATGTGTGGTGCACATGTGTATGTGTTGAGCTCCAAAGTTGATATCAAGTATCTTTCTCAACTGCTCTCTACCTAATACAACCTAATACATTGAGGTAGAGTCTCTTTAGGAACCCCAAGCTCAGCTGGCTAATCTGGTTAGCTGTCTTGCTCTAGGCATTCACTTTGTCTCCTAAGTGTTGTCATTCCTGCCTGGGTCTTACATGGATTCTGGGCCTTCAAACTCTAGTCCTCATTCTTGCAAGATAGTGCTTCATCTGATAAGCTATCTTGCTAGCTTTTTCTTGTTTTTTGAGGACTGGTCTCAGTGGTCTAAAATTTACCTAGTAGGCCAGGTTGGCTGGCCAGAGACTCTGGGAATCAACCTATCTCTACTTTCCCAGGACAGGAATTACAAGTATACACCATTATGCCCAACTTATTTATATGAGTCCTGAGGATCAAACTTAGGTCTTCTAGCTTGCAAGGCATATCTTTTGCCAACTTAGTTGCCTGTAAATGTAACTTTTATTTTCCTGAATTAATTGTTGTCTTGGAGGCTTTCTGCCTCTGTCTACTGACCTAGGCCTAGTCCTGGAAGCTTCTAACCTCTGTACAATATAATCTAGACCTAGAATGCTTTCAGCTTCTGAGACTTGCTGGTGAATAAACTCACCTCTTCCTAGTTCTTTCTGATCTCTGACTGGCTGATTCAACTCAGTTTTGGATCAAACTCATCTCCAAGTTGATTGATTCAATCTTGCTTCTCTTTCTGCCTCTCCTGAATTGCTCTCCCTGAACTCAAACTAACTCTAGCAATCTGTTCTAATCTTCTGGCTCCTTCTCATTCCCTTGCTTATTCTGTCTTTACATGTGTCTAGTTTGTTCTCTCTTCAACCTGTCTCTGTAAAACACTCCTGGTAAAACTCTTTCCTCTTTCTGCCCTGCTCTCTTAATTAGATTCCCTTTCTTTTCTCTTCTCATGAGAGGTGGGCATATCCTATTCTATCAAATCTTTCTCTGATTTATCACTTTGTCACTCAATTAGATATCACTTTCAAACATACATGCTTCCTTCTACAAACTAACTTTACCTTCATTGTTTGGGATTAAAGGTGTGTGCTAAAGGCATGTCTGTATTCCTGCCAGACAAATTAAAGGTGTGTGCTAAGGGCTGAGCCACATCACAACTAGAAACAGGTTTTTTCAGCAAACATTACAGTCTCAAGGTTCAGAGTGTGATCTGCAATGTCCTGCAGTAGCTGCCTTTCTATTTTTTAGTGCTCCTTTAAACCAGATTTTATTGTAATAGAAATACTCTGGTGGTAAAGTAGAATCAGTGGCATACCCTGATTCAGTTCCTATGGTCTGTCTGAAGGAGACACTCCTGGCCGTGTGAGGAGGCAATGATACAGAGCTAAGAGAGTTTTGTTTAAAAGTTAGGTATCACCTTTGATAAAGTTCTGGTTAAGGCAATAGAAGCAGAGAATGTTTTAAGGACCTTCTAAAAGTTTTAATGGAATCTGACTTTGCTGGGATGTACAACTTCACTTCTCTTTTCTTACTCAAAACTGTATTCAGTAGCTGCAGATTCAGAAGTCATTTTGTACCAAGAGGTTTTATATTAATGATGGAAGGGAGGACACACAAGTGTAAGGGTCTTCTAGTCTAATGATTAGGGGCCTCAAGCTGGTTCAAGACTACCTTCTTTTGAATTTTAATCTGAGAGAACATTTTATGGTCAGCCACTGTTTGTTAAGCCATTGTTACCTTACTTGGTGTAGGATCTAACTTTCATAAGTGCTCTTGCAGGTAGGCACATTAATACCCATTTTATGAATTACAGAATAATTGCCGGAATCAAAAGAGAGTCCAGGGCAGCAACTAGGATAGTTTTAGCTGTAACTCACAAAGTAGATAAGACTTGCCCAGGGAACTTACTCAGTATACAGACTCAGGTATACCATCCTCATCTACTAGGTCTTCTTAAGGCCCAAGAAGCTTCTTCCTCTCAAACAGTCTAGGCTTTCTTATCATTAGTAAAGAGTATGAATTCAAACATGGGTGAAAGCTCAAGTAGCAATATTCTTTAAGAATATTTCTGTGAATGTAGAAATCATCCATGGACTTTATAGACTTTGGGTTCCAGTTTTCATTTGAAAAAAAAAAAAGTGAGTATGTCTTATGTGGGACATGGGATTTGCATTTTTGAAAGCTTTCCTCATGATTCTGATGGCTCCGATGAACAGAGTCTACCTTGTGGGGCTCCAGCTTTCATAGTTAGGAGCATGGGTACTGGATGAGATGAACCTGGGTTTTGATTGTTCACATGATCAGTCACTTATTGCTGGATGACTGTAATGGGCTAATTAAGCAGTCTGTGTCTCAGGCTTCATCATTTCCAAATTGAAGAAAATAATAAGGTCTACCTGGCAGGGTTGTCGTGAGGATTAAATGAGATAATTTATGTAAAGCTCTTAGCTTTGCATAAATGTGCTCTCAATAAGTGGTGGCTATTGTTATTATCATACCCAGAGCACACATCTTGCAAACAGTATGGGTACAGAGTCCTATTACCATGGATAATTTATGCAAAATTCAGGAACCAGGATTCAGCAAAAGTTGGTAAAGGAAACTAGGTACTCTTTCCTCTTTTCAGCTTCCTCTTCATCTCTCTTTCTTCTTCCTCATCCTCTTTTTCTCAGATCTTTAGAATGAAATATGTATGTATGTATGTATGTATGTATGTATGTATGTAGTATGTGTGCTGGTATGCACGTGTGTGTGTGTGTGTGCGCGTGTGTGTTTATCATGACATATGACATATATGTGTGTAGAGGTCACAGGAGAACTTGTAGGAGTCTGGTTCCTTACTTCAACCAATGGGAGTCCATGGATCAAACTCCAGTTGTCAGACTTGGTGACAGGTGCTTTTACCTGCTAAGCTGTTTTGAACATCCTTCTGTAGTTTTGAGATAGAGTTTCATGTATTCATGACCTCAAATTTGCTGTGTTAGTTGTAAATGATCTCAAACTGCTAGTCTTTTTACCTCCACCTCCCACATGCTGGGATTATAGGTGTGTGCTGTTAGGTCCAAAGGAATCTCTGATCCCCCCCAAACTCCAAGGGCATTCCTGGACTATAGAAGGACTTCTGGTGGATAGATAAAAGCCAGCATTCCTCAGAAACTCGTGAAGTCAGTTCCCTTCTATGTGAAGGAGGCATTTTTCCTTATCAGTGGCAGAAGGACTAAATGGCTACCTGTGGTGCCTATTAGCATACCAAAGCCCATATTGGCCTCCGGGCTCTCTTAATATTACAAATATTGGTTACACATTTAAAGCCCAAGTTAGCTCTTCTCACCTCCTTCCCTACCCTAGACTCCCTCCAGCTCACTGATTTCCTTCCCCGCTCCTCATTCTCCTTATAACCCTGCTGTTTTTGATATGCTCATTTTCCCTTTGTCTCCCTCTTCCCTGCCTCTATGTTTCTCTTCCTATCCCACCTTCCTCTGCTTCTTTCAAGTCTAGTCTATTGGTCATGTTCGGCCTACCTCTTCCTTTCTTTGCTCTGGACTCTTCCAGATGCCTCTGGATGTTCTGTCTCTTATATCTACAATAAAAAATTTCTCCTTAGCCATACCATGGAGTGGTAATGTCAGTTTCTACATGTGCCACCACATCCGATATGAGCAACTTCTAGCCTTTAGAACAAGTGACTGGTGCACAAAAATGTTGAATGAGGGTCTTTGAGTACACATTCCTGTATCTCTCAGCTTCCTCTTTTCTCCTCCTTTTTTTCTCTTCCTTTCCAGCTGCCCTGAGTCTGTCTGAGTTACACACACCCAATGGCTCCATTTTCTCTCTCCTCTTTGTTAACTTCAGGTGCATCCCTGGATAGCTAGAAATGTCTTTACAGCCGGCTCTTGGACCCAGTGATGAGACACGTCATCTCTAGTCTACAGGGCAGCTCTTGCATCCCTTGCCATGGCACTCGCTGCAATTTCCTCTGCACATGCGATACATCATGGCTCAGATAAAAGACTTGTCCCTCTCCCTCACACTGCCCCCCCTTCCGAAGCCCTTCCTCATCTTCCTCTTCTCTTTACTCCCCACCTCCTTCACAGAGGCTGCCTCTGCCAATAATACCTCTCACATGAGACCTGCAGCTTGGTGTGATTTGTCTGGGACTGGACAGCATATTCTAACATTGGTGCAGAGACTTATTTGAAGCCTCCGCCAAGTAGGCCTTGACAGATTCGAAACTCCGTTTTTACACGAGCCATGGAACCCACTACTATGTGGAGTGGCTGCCACCATGACAAATGTGCCTCCTACACAGGATCACTTTCTGGCACCGGTTGACTAAACACCATGCAAACATCGGTGGATTCGAAGCTTTCTGTCCTAGTCAGTGGACAGCATCCATGGTCGCAGAAGAGGACTGGCCAGCCTCTATGAGTCTAAGGGACAGATTTATCCATGGTCTTTATGACCAGCCTTCTAGCTGACTCCTCATTTTAGGCCTCCTACCCTTGGGTGAACCCTCTCCCTCTTGCTGTCCAGGAAGCATTTTTTTCTCTCGATTTCTTTCTTGCACTGCGCTGCTGGTAAACCATTTTCCCTTGAGCCCTGGGCACACAGCTCAGGCATCAGGCATGCATCTCTTAACTATGAGCTTCTGCGTGATGACTTGGTAACCTAGACTGGCTGCTTGTTCCAATATTTCATTGATCTACTACCACTGGGACCATAGTAAGATTAATTTATCTTTATTAATTTGTTCCCAGGATGCTGGTAAGAATACTTTAATCTCTGTCACCCGATGGGTATCTCATCTTTGATTATGCCTCCAGGCTCCCCACTGGGATGCCTCTTGGAAAATCTCAAACCTCTAAAACTAGCGCCTGTTTTAAAGGCATCCAAACTTGTTCACTTTTGCAATCAGGTCTGGGCTTACAGTACCCATTAGATACCGACTCCATGTTATGTCCATGTTAAGTGTCCATGCTATGGCGCTTTTGATGCTACCATTCTAAAGGATCTTCATACATGCTGCCAGCGGTCTGGTAAATGGAAGGAGGTCCTCTTTGTCCAAGCTTTCATCTGTCTTCACTTCAAACTGTCTCTTTGCTCTTCCCATCCCACTCAACTCCTTCTAGCTATGAAACCTCAACCAGACAAAACTTCTACTACTCTTGATCCTGCTAATGAACCTCCCCCTTACTGCCGCTGACCTGCCTCTACAATCTCTCCTACTTCCCCAGTCTCCTCAGCTTCCTCTTCTCACCAGACTGCTAGAGCCTCCTTACTCAACTTCTCCAGACTCCTCCCCTCCTATGCCAGCTATAGGCTGCTCCAGCTGCCCTACACTGGCACCTACTTTCAGCCCTCCCACCACTTGCTCTAAATCTGCAGTCAATCTCCCTACCTCTTCCTATACCCAGTCTAACCCAGTGTCTGTCCTTCCTTTAAGGGAAGTTGCTGGGGTAGATGGTCTAATTAGATAGAGTACATGTCCCCTTCCCACTAAATGAACTTTCCCAAATAGAAAAAAGACTGGGATCTTATACCTCCAACCCTTTTGCCTCTCTTAAAGAATTTTAGTACATCACTCAATCTTATAGCTTGACTTTCCATGATATACATATGATTCTCAGTAATAATTTACTCTCTGATGAGCACAGGTGAGTTTAGGAACAGGCTAGGATACATGCAGATGAGATTCATCAGACAGACTCAGCATATCTGATCGGGTCTGAGACAGTACTCAACCAGGATCCTTAATGAAATTGTAATTCCTCTTGTGATAGTCTAGCCAGAGACCGATTTGCAACATGCCTCCTGGCTGGTCTTTGTAAGGCTGCCCTAAAACCAGTAAATATTGAAAAACTTCAAGAGGTCATCCAGGATAAACAAGAAAACCTATCTCAATTTTTAGAGTGCCATACAAAGACCCTATTACAATATACTAATTTAGTCCCTGAAAATCCAGAAGGTAAGCAACTCCTGATGACTTTACTTTTTTCCCAAAGCTACCCTGACATTAAGGCCAAACTTAGGTGCTTAGAGAGGGGACCCCTAACGCAATAGACAGAAGTCTTGGCACTGGCCTTTAAAGTGTACCATCAGAGAGATGAGAAGGCCTACAGACAAAAATACCATATGTTGGCAAAAGCTGTGTGACCAGCCCCAGCCTCTGCTTGGGTGTCCTGGTCTTCTAAGGCTTGGGAACCACCAGGTCCCCGCTACAAATGTGGTCAACAGATCACTGGGTGAAGGGCTTGCTCTGACCCCCAGCAAACCATCAAGGCCATGCCCAAAGTGCCATCAGGAGGACTATTGGGCTGTTGATTGCACTCGTGCTGCTCAGGACAGAGGTATATCACTCTAGCTGATCTCCCAGGCTTGGCCATGGATAACTGAAAGGGTCTGAGCTCCCTTGACCATATCACTTCTGTTACCATCAGGGAGCCCCGGGTAGTCATGATGGTATCTGGGCCATGCATCTCTTTCCTCTTGGATACTGGGACCACTTACTCAGTCCTGACAAAGTTTTGGGGACTTATCTTTCCTTCTTGTTTCCCTATTGTTGGGGTAGGAGGACAGCCTTACCATGCTCACCAGACCCCACCACTTAGTTGCATTTTTAGGGATGTTTCCTCTCACTCATTCCTTTTTTTTGGTAGTGCCAATATATCCTGTTCTCTTATTGGGAAGGGATCTTCTAGCTAAGTTCTATTTCTTGATTTTTATTTTTTTTTAATTTTTTAAATTTTGTCCTAATCAGCTTTTATACCATTTTAATTACATGCAAGTATTATGGTCATTTCTAGGTTGAGGAACTAGCAATACAATAGATGCAATAGTCAAGGAACAAGCAAGACAATAAACACAAATAGTCAAAGAACAAGCAAGGCAATAAACAAAGTTCCATGATCAGTCCCATGATCGCTGTTTCTAAGGGCTTACCTGGATGATCAAAATGTCTGAGCCTACTTCCATGCCCTAGCCCAAAGTTATTTTCATGCCTGAAGCCTACTTCTTTGTTCTAGCCTAAGATTTAGATTCCTGCCTGAAATTACTTCTTTGTTCTAGACTGAACAGATTTTTGCTTGAAGCCTATTTCCTTGTCCTTAGTCAATGTCAGATTCCTGCCAAGCAGTCCTCAAAGCTCTCCACATCTCCCCATTTTTTATTTCATAAAGAAGATTTAGCCTGTCTTAGGTCATTCTGACAAGAATGCCTTCCTTACTTGTCATGGTATATGCATTATCAAAAGCAATGCACTTATGTCTTAGGTTGGTAAGGATCTGTGCAGAATCTTACCTGTCCTTGGCTTGCCAGCCTGTTAAATTAATAATTCTGTCTGGGGGACCATTTTCAGTTTCAAGCCGTGTACTTTGGCTGCTAACCTGTAGATGTTGTTAGAGACAAGCCTCTATTTCTTTTGCTCCTTGCAGTTGCCTAAACCCAAACTTGCCAGCAGCCCTTCTTCTCCTCCTCCTAGCCACCAAACCTACTAACTCTAACATGTTGTTTCCTTTGCCAGCCTCTCAGGTAGACCCCTGAGTCTGGGACATCCAGAACCCTTCTGTTGCTAAACATTATTCTCCTGTTGTCATACAATTACAGGGCCCTACCAGGTATATCACCCAAGCTTAGTACTATCTTTCTTTCCAGAGCCTCAGGGGACTTAAGCCTATCATCTCTGACCTCCTAAAGAAAAAACTCCTTTGCCCCACCTCTTCTCCCTTTAACACCCCTATACTAGCGGTTAGAAGTTAGTCCTGAATAGTTGTCACTAACATTTTAGTTTTTTAAATCATTTGTATAACACTTGATTCTACTTGTAGGAATCCATTCTATAGAAATTCTCCTCCAGGTGCACAAAAATGTATGCATACAAAAATTTAATTTCAGGAACTCAAAGGCCCATCAAGAGTGGACTAGTAAAACAGGTTATAGTAATAGTCTATGCTTGCATTGCTCTAAACAATCTACTGTGAATTATTGGTCTACTAGGAGATAAATTGTATGGTTTAAGTTGGAACTGTCTCCTACAGGCTCCTGTTTTGAGTACTTAGCCCCTGGCTTATAGTGCTGTTTTGAAGGCTGTGGAGCCTTTAGGAGGCAGGATAAGGCTGGTAAGAATAGGTCACAAGAAGTGGGCCATTGAAACTAACGTGCACTTCTGGTTTCGGCTTGTATCCTGTGCGTCCTGGTTTGTGCTAAGTGAAGATCTGCCACCTCTTGTCATCACATAGCTACTCTGCCATGCCTTCTCCACCATGGTGGACTGAAATCTCTCTGGAACCACAAGCCCAAGCAGACCTTTCTTGCTTGTGGTTGTCATTGTCAGGTGATTTGTCACAGAAGTCAAGGACACATAAGTCAAGGACTTTTTGAAGACAGCCTTACTGACAAAAACAAGCAACTGACTTATGCAACTATCTGCTGATGTCAACAGGATGGATAGAGACAAAGTTGATTTTCATTCTCATGCAAATTTGTCTCTTATATTCTCAGAGGAATGAATGGGT